CTCCTATACCTCCTATACCTCCTATATCTGCTATACATCCTATATCTGCTATACATTTCCTACCTTAGAGCATAATCGAATGTCCGGGGATATTCTCGGAAGACATCCAACCAACTCCTCGCCGCGTCCTATGGGACAAAAGGAGGGCATCCGCAGGGCCTAAGGGGCAGTTCCTTAGTGCGCTCAAGGATGAATTTTTTTAGACAGATTGATCAAAATCAATCTATCGTGAACTTCACTTTTCGAGTACATAAAAATAACGTACACTCTATGGAGAACAAACGAATATCACACGGACACACTATTATGATATATGACTTTTTCATGGTTTTTCACAAGTGGGATACTGAAGACATATCGAACGCAGCATAATATCCCCTATTACTTTACATCATTTTATAGCTCTTGACGAGTTCTATCTACTCTTAAAAAAGTGTTATTGATAATATGAAAAACAAACAAATATCGCGCTGACACATTGTTAACATATATGAATTGTCTATAGTTTACCTACCCTGTCATATAGGGGCAACCTTCAGAGCAACCCATTTATTCCTATAATTTAGTACCATGTTATAGCCCATGAAATTCTCTATTGAATGGCATATAATACATGGGGTTTTATTCGTAAACAGCACTAAATTATTTTTCAAAAAAAAAAAATATAAAAGAATCATAGGGAAATATCAGTATTTTTGCAATAACTCGGGAATGGCCCAGCCAATTAGGCTCATCTTCGAACTCGACCGAGATCTAGATAAGATTAAACTGTGCACAAAATTTCAGCTCAATCGGACTATTCTTTCAAACGTTATCGTGCATACGGCCGGGCACACTGACCGATTCTAGAAGTGTACTCACTTTTTTTGAGTACACAATAAGAAACTTACTTTTCTGGTGTTAACCTTGCTTGCATAGCTTAAATAGTGTTTTGTAATGAACAAAATACGATTGACAAATATGATTTGTTATTGTGAACAAGAGAAAAAAAGCAATTTTATTTTAATACTAAAATGAAAGATTCAGTGAAAATCTGAACACAAGATTTGAGCAGAATTCAAGGAGAAAATGGCAGACTTTTGGACCTGAAGGTTGACTAGCGGATCTTTGTGTGTGTGTGTGTGTGTGCAGGAGGTGTGGGTGGGTGGGTGCGTGGGTGTAAGAGGTGTGGGTGTATGCGAGTGGGTGTAGAATAGTTATCAAGGATCCACACCTGCTCCTACGTCACACTCACACTCACTCACAGCTACACCACACTGACGCCCATTGTCACCCACACTCACACCCCCAAAAGGTCACGAGTTGACTTACTCTGAAGGTCTTATTTTCCATCCTTCAACCTTTTGAAATAAAATAAAATCAAGCATTCTTTTTTCGGTTACATTTTTGGAATTTTTTTAACAGAGTTCCCAGATTGGCGACGCGAAAAATTCTACGCAGGTGCTCTGCGAAACGGTTTCTTCTTGAGATTTTAATTCGTAAATCAAAATATTTCTTTGTATTAATATTGTGGACTAGCTCGATATTGGTATTTATGTACGTTGACCCTATAACTAAACCGTTTCATTTTCAATCATTACCACAAACCTACCTCAAAACTTGTAATTGTCAGATGCTTCGAAATATTCGTTTCTTTCCTGCAATGGTACACCTTGACAATCCAAAGACACTGAATTATTGGGTTAGGAATAAGACTGGGTTTGAAATAGGTGGACCCTCCCCAGCAACCTGGGGAAGATTGGGTATATATGAAGCGGCGATTAAAGTGGATGTTACGAATTTCGCTTCCACCACTCTTTGGGAAAAAGAGCTAAATGATAATTCCCCTTTTCTGTGGAAGAACCAACGAAAAGGAACACAATATATAAGGGATGCAGTGAATCTGCATGGTATACCTGACAATTTTTATGATCTTGTTTTTGGTTCGCATGTTCTGGAGCATATTGCAAACCCTATGAAGGCATTTTTGGAATGGTTAAGAATCTTACGATCCGATGGTTTGATATTTCTCATATTACCGTTGAAAGAGAAAACATTCGATCATAACCGTGCAATTGTTACAATAGAACATTTACTTGATGACTACCATAATCAAGTGGATGAATCAGATCTTTCACACTTAAATGAAATCATTCGTTTGCACGATCTGACTATGGATCGACCAGCAGGTAATCTAGACTTTTTCAAAATGCGGTCGAAAAACAATTTTTTGAACCGTGGTTTACATCAGCATGTATATGATCAACAAGTTCTGTATTATATATTCGTTTGCCTAAATATAGATGTGAAATTTCAGGCTACGTGGGACATACATCAACTGATAATTGGCCAGAAACGATAGTGACGTATGATAATACTATAGTACTGGTACCATCTTGAGGGTGTGGGTGTGGGCGTGGCTATGAGTGTGGTTGTGAATGTGGGTGTGGGTGTGGGTGTGGCTTTGAGTAGGGTTAAAGATGATGAATAAATGAGAGAGAGGTGTCCACTCTCACACCCACACCGTATTGATATCTGTTGAACTATCTATCTATGGATTTAGTCTAGTAAACCAAAAGTACTCAAATATGTTAACTTTTTGAACCATAATTAATTTCTGGGTACGTATTTGTGTTATACAAAAAGCACTCAAAACCCTCTGCTATAAAAATATGTGATGAAGCATAGAACAATGGGATGATTAATTTTTTTAATATGTTGACACTTGGCTCGTCGCTCCCCAGAGTATTTGTATTATGACATCTATTATCAATACTTTCTATCTGTTTGTTTCTCGCTGTGCTGGTCAAAAAGTTCAAATGGTTCAGAGCACTCGAAATATCTCTAAGGGATCCAAAAATGAATGTATAAAGAAGTATATTTTTTTGAGAGATTGAAGTTGCAACAAAAAAAGCAAAAAATTATTTTTTGAAAGGCTCGGTTACTTATCAAATTCATTAAACTTACCATGTCATACAATCTCCAATTTCTAAGGGATTGGTCTTATCTATACATCTTCTTCAACTTGCCACGAACTGTATCATTAATTAAGTAATTAATTTTCGATAATACACTCGGCTGACTTTGTTCCAGTTAACACATTTAGACATTCATCAATGCTGAAATACGTTATTGGTATGGTTGGCCGTTTCATTTTTGTGATTTTGGGAAAAAAGCTGTCTGTTTGTAAACTCATTATACTATTTCTATTCACTTATTGTGTATTGTTCGCACTAGTATATTATTTGAAAATGTCGCACTATTTCCAAACATCTGAAAATTACGACGAGAAATTCATAAATATTCGACAGGATATTGTTAAGGGTGTTCAACATTCTGCGCCTGTACAGGAGAAATTTGGAAATTATACTAATACTTGCCCATACTATGGCTTACAGCATGGGTTATTTCATCCAACTGTTGAGCATCCACGTTTTATTATAACTGGTGGTGCGGGTTTCATCGGAAGCCATTTAGTGAAACACTTAAGAAAACAACAATACAAAGCAACACAGATCAAAGTATTAGATAATTTGGGGCGAGGACGCTTACACAATCTTCAATTCGAAAATGGTTCATGGGCCATATCCATTGCTCTTAACTTTTGCATGCTTGATTTACGAAATGCAGACGATGCTTCAAAATTTGTGACAGGAGCTGATGTGGTTTTTCATTTGGCGAATGTTATGGCTGGAGTTAGTTATGCATTTTCACACCAGTTACCTGTTTTTCAGGATAATATACTCATTAATTCAAATACAATACATGCTGCGAAAACGAACAAAATAAAAAACTTTATATATGTTGGAACAGCTTGCAGCTTTCCAAAAATTTTACAACATGATGCAGGTATTCATTCATTAAATGAAAATCCAACATATCCTGCGAAACGTGAGTTTTGGTACGGATGGAGTAAATTAATGGGAGAATATGAAGCAGAATTAGCAAAATCAAATAGCTTTAATGTTGGTATTCTGCGTCTCCATCATGTGTATGGTCCTTATAGTGATTACAACACTGTAACTGAACAAACTATACCATGTCTGATTAGAAAAGCAATAGACACTAATAATGATAGTTTCATCGTGTCTGGATCGGGTGAACACTATCAAGACATTTTATATGTTGACGACGTCATAGATAGTTTACTTTCAATGTTGAAAAGAGGCATGAACAAAGGAGTTATACAAGTGGGCACAGGAAAAGCAACGACAATAAAAGAACTTGCATATATTGTCAATCAGTTAATAGAAAGTAAATTTCAGAAAAAAAGGAATATTATATTTGACAACACACAACCACAGGGTGATAAAGGACCAATCGCTATTCTTGATCGTGCTATGAACATTTTAAAATGGAAACCTAAAGTAGATATACAAGAAGGTATCTCAACAACTATGTCATGGATAGCCGATAATGAAAGAAAACAACGAATACTCGTCATTACAATTGGTCAGATTCGTGGTGGTGAAATAGCTTGGAAATCTCTGCAAAAGTTTCTTCTTCAACCTTTTAATGCACATTTAGCAATTTATGTTTCCAACTGGCAAACAAGAACACTATTACATGATATGGCTCATTACATTTGGACGGTGCCTGAATATACGGACTGGGGTGCTGTATTTGAAATGATAGCGAAAACATGTCATGTAAATAGTAATATAGGAAAGTGGCGAAAGTATTGTAAAATCCCTGGACAGTTTATGGGTGGAGTAGCAAATTGCTCACATTCAGGATCGGCTGGTATTTTATTTGCTTTTAGATGGTTAGTTCAACAAAAATTCTCGAATTTAATTTACTCGATAAATACGATTGGTTCATTTTGACACGAGCCGATGAATTATACCTATGCAGTCATCACACTCTAAATAAAATAGGTGGTCTACTGAACTCCCAAAAAAGGTTTCGTCCTGACAAAAAAGTCTCCAAACATGTTCAAAGTTTGAAAAACACAATAAAAAATTCTACGAAACCATTAAAGGATCTTCCCGTGTGTCGGGGGGAATAACCTTCACCTACGAAACCTTTTTTTAAGTTCAGGACACCGAAAAAAGGTTTCGTGGAGAAATACGAAATTTTCATGGTTTCATATTAAACTACTCAATAACATTAGGGTTTGGTACAAAACTATTAGGGTTTCAAATGAAACCATGAAAGTTTCGTATTTTTCCACGAAACCTTTTTTCGGTGTCCTGAACTTAAAAAAAGGTTTCGTAGGTGAAGGTTATTCCCCCCGACACACGGGAAGATCCTTTAATGGTTTCGTAGAATTTTTTATTGTGTTTTTCAAACTTTGAACATGTTTGGAGACTTTTTTGTCACGACGAAACCTTTTTTGGGAGTTCAGTAGACCACCTATTTTATTTAGAGTGCATGATTTTCTTAAAATGAATAAAAATCATGCTTTACTACCGACAGGTGAGAATTACGGCGGATGGTCGGATCGTCATGTTATTGGAAAGTCATCTAACTTTTTGAAAATGATGAATATAACAACAGAGTTGGTATGTAAGCCGGATTACTGGTTTAAAACCTTAAAAATATTACGTGGTGAAGTCAATTTGGAGAGCATACAGAAAATAATCTGGTCATATATGAAATTACAGGTATCTGAATTTCCTAGATCAATGTTTACAGTTAAAAGGGAGCAAGATGCAACAAGATGGTCTAACGGTATATCTCATGCAGATGTTCAGACATTCGGTTTGAAAATAAAATATCCGGATGAGTTCACAGCAGCCGTTAAACATTGTAAGATTACAAACGTAACAAACTCTTTGAAAGAAACGCAGCAGTATAACTGGGAAGTATAGTATATGTTTTTAAAGTAAACAAGCTGGTAACTAAATTGTTCTTAATAATCCTATTTATTGTGTCTTTTAAATGGAAAAATTATAGAATGTTGTAAGCAAAGTAGATAATATACACTAAACTTACAATTGCAAGAATATGTATTTGGCTTTAGATATTTGAGGGTGGGTATGGGTGTGGTTATCTATTATAGTCTTGCATCATCACTCACTGCATCATCCACATCCTCAAGATGATAGAAATAATTATTCATCTACATACACCCTATTTTTTTATCACTCTTCTTCAGTGGAGGGAAAACGCAAGATGTTGAAGACACTCAAAATGGTTCATTTGAATGGTCGAACAATTTCATAAGTATCTATGATATTGTTTATTATGGTTATGAATCAATCGAGGTGGCAGTAGTTCGAAGGTGCAATGATCTGTTGGACTGATAGTGAAAAAGTGAAAACTTGTGAATAGCTAGACTTTCAGATAAAAGAGTCTGATTAAGTGACCATGGAGGCCCTCAAATCTAATTGACTGAAATGTCAATCTTCTGGGGCGTTAATTCTTCCACCTTTGACCATGTATTTTTGACCTCTTAACCCTTTTTAATGAAATGTGTTTATAACCTTTAGCCTTTGATCATTGACATAAATGGAAAAACACTTTCCACTTCTTTGCATTACTTCCATTCATTTGGGGGAATATTAATCTCATTACCGTCGTCGTGTTATTGGCTTGTCCACTTACGCTCCACCACAATTATTTTTCCAGACACATGTGAGTTGATAGTAGCTCTGTTTAGGTAAGACAAATATTTCGCTGTAATATTGACTGAAATTTGCTTATGAAAATCGGTTTCGAAAATTGGGGATGAATGCACTTGATTAGTGAGAAACGTCAAACACATATATCCGTTCTCGACAAAAGCAAATGGTCTATAGTAGGGAGTTGAATTTGCATAACGTCGATATATACGCCATGGATTTTTATATGGCTTTAAAGGAAGATGAATTTTTTCCATCGGAAACTTAGTAGGAGGATAGCTCTTCAATAGATTTGCGTGCAAGAATGCGATTTCTCCGAATGGATCATGTTGAACCATAGTATGCCCGCAAAATTTTACTGTCATATTAGGTTTATTTTTATCATTTGATTTCACATAATCAAACCCGCCTATGCCAACAAATTTTCCAATGAAATAAAAAGGAGTATCAAGAACTTTCCACGAAAATCTGAAAGTATCTTTGTCTCCATAAAGAATTCTTGAAATCATATGATCTAAATTAAGATACAAAGCTAAATTGAGAGCTTTCCACGCTAACCGTTTGTTGATCAAAATCTGTCCGGACTCTTGTTCATATTCTCCTGCTCTACATGGTACATCTAAAATTTTCCATATTGCGTTCTTTCCGGGTGTGGACCAAAAATCAGGCCAAAACATTGCAGTGGAGCGTGTATAGTGTGGAAGATCGAAAAGATACTCTGGATCACGCACAACTATATTGTCTGAGTCCAACCACAAAACATGTTCAAAACTTGAATGTAAAATAGATGCTGGTTTTATAGCAAATGAACCGGCTTTGCTGTTTATCTGACTTATGTTATGTTTTAATATACGTACGGTAACTCCCAGAACTGTTTCGAATTCTCTTATTTCGTCAGCTGTCAGCTCACCTAGATGCATGAAAACTTCTACAGGAAGCCGACAACCCAACCATCGAAGCAATTTGATGGATGCAATCAGACGACGACATCTATAAAGCCCAGACGATGCAGATGAAACTATTCCTCTACCATAATATTTATTTGACGGATAAGCGGAGATTGTCCGTACGAATGTTTGCCATCTCGATTTTGCTTGAGAAGATTCTGCTTCTGTTAAAGTCACTTCGCTGACATGCGCCAGTGGATGATGAGTAACATAATATGGGCACAATGTATAATTCTTCTTCTCGGTTGGTTGACGGAGTTTATGGTCGTCGACGAGATAACGGTTATAAAAGTTGCAAAGCCTCAATTTATGATAAATGATAAGGAGAATACTATCTAGTACAATGACGATTATACAAATGCTAGACAATAAAATGGTAAAATAGATTCGTCTCGTCATCGAACAGATCCGTAAAATAGTAAAGAATAGTAATCGTCAACATACAGATACAAGCTACTATGTGTTTCAAAATACAAGTAATGTTTGTCGCTTGGGCTCACTTAACCCTCGAATGTAAAGTAATACTATTTTCTGTTGATACTAAGCTGAGAGCATCGATCTACCAATTTATATCTAAAGTGGACGCAAATCTTTTCTCTTGAATTATAAAAGTGCGAAAAAAGCGTAAGTGAAGTGAGCAGTCGATTCGAGTATTTCCAGCGAGGATTCGTATATGATGCGCTTCAGAGCGTTCCAAACGAGTTCCAAGTACAGCTCAACGAGTTCTATCCGTTGGCGAAATGAGATTTCCAATAGCTGTGACTAAACTCAAAAGAAGCCCAAAAATTACTGCAATTTTTAAGTACAACTTTAGCAGCCGATTCGAGTACTAGCAGCCGCGATTCTCCTGTACTGAGTTCCAGAGCGTTCCAATACTTGTTGCAAGCATGACTCATAGAGCTCTATCGAATCAGGTGCTCAAATTTTTCATAGCTCAAAGTAAAAATTTTTGATCTATAGATGGCGGCATCAAAACCGAAAACAGTTTTACTTTAAACTATGAAAATCTGAGCACACAATTCGATAGAGCTTGTTGACACTCTAAAAAATGCCATGTGTCTTACAAGACGGTACAGCCGTCTAATGTCTAATTAAGTCGCCAGTTAGATATTTGGCATGTCTTATTTTTAGACACGGAAATAATAAGACACTGATGTGTCTTAAACATTATTTGCCAACGATTTCCATTGAATCTTTTTTAGACACTCAAATATAGGGTGCTTTGTGTCCATTGTATTTTAAATAAACCAATAGAAAAAGATGTTTATTTTTGAAAATATGAAAAGAAATTTGAATTGAATTGAACGAGTATTATTAATATTTTAATTACAAATTTAAAAAAAAAGTAATGTCATTTTCAAAAATAAAAGTCCTATTATGATCGATTTTTCACAGGGTTTTTAATATTTGCTCGAGGTTTATGTACGAAAATTAAATTTAAATAAATCGAAATTATTGATATGCATTGTTGACATTTTTCTTATATTTTGGTATCTTCACAATCAATCATTACCGTTCATAAATTAAAATTACCACGAGAAAAAACAACAAAAATAAGTATAACATTCTATCTGTGTAAATTTTTAAGTATTTTCTTCATTTTAGCACAAAATGAAACTTATAGTTCTATAACTAAAGAAGCATCTATTACAATGGAACCTAATAATATTTTAAAAAGTAAGTTTTATTATCTATAGTAAAAAATATGTTATTTTTGTTGCAGCATTTAATGTTAAAAATACTGAACAATCAATTACTTCAAATAATGGGTTAGAAGTTTGGTGTCCGAAATTATCTATATCAGAAGAACTTGCTTATAACAAAGATGTTAGTTGTCTTCGTTCAATTGTAAATCCTAAGAACAAAACGACACAACATATTTCAGTTGGCGAAATTCGTGCACTTGTTTATAACAGTTATGCAATTCGAGGTCAAATGTTATCTTAGAAATAGAATGTTGACTTTACCATGAGGGTGTTAGATTTTCAAGAAATCTTTCATGAAGAAGTTGTAAGAGACATTTCTTTTAAATTTCTTTTAGGTGTAAACTCATTAATTTTCCATCTTTCATTTTGATGCATAGAATATATTGTATTCGATAGTTTCCGGTAGTTAAAATAGTTGCTTTACTATTGGAAAAAAGGTAGTGTTTTAACTTTATTTATTTTTAGCTTATTATTGAATGTAGTTTATTGAAAAACCAAATGTGTACTTTTGAAGAAATACAAAATCGAGCACGTCTTTTACCTAATGATTTAATAAAAACAAGTAACGCGCGTCGGGACGACTCGCTTGACCCTCGACTGTGTGTTTGTACGTCTAAATACTGCTTTGTTTTATAAACATAATTTTGTTAATATTAAAGGTATGCACGTATGTGTTTATGAATATGATTTAAATTGCGTATGATACGATCGTTGGGTTCGAGTTATGGTGGTTTTATATATAAAATCATCATTCGTATCTATAAATTAGTAAAACAAGCTAGTTTCAAAGTTCATGTTATAGAATTCTCGTTTATATGTGTTGATATTGAATATTATTAAAGGTTTAGTTTTTTCTCATGAATATCACGAAACGAGATAGATTTTAATAGATAATGTTAAACTGAAAATTAAGCGTGGATGATAAGAAGTGTATCACCTTACAAATGCGTACAGTAGCACGGAAATTAGTATTATGTCGAGACAACAATAGAGAAAGACTGTTTTATACTATTGCGTATTGATATTTATGCTTGACTGAATGGAATGTAGCTTGGACAGAACAATTGTATACCATGATGTGTTATTGAAAAAGTATTCACTGTTATCAATTAGAATCGTACTTTTACTGAACAGAATTGTAAATAGATGTATAACATGTCGCAGTTTGTACTATGGTATCGAATTATTTGACAAATGCTATGATTCTTTGATATGACTAATAATATTTTATTTTATTTACAAAAATTTCATGCAAAATAAGATAATACAAATATATGGAATATGTGATTAAAACAAACAAAAAAAACTAGATGCGAATAGGAGAATGCATCTATAACCAGCAAATAACTATCCATAATATGAACTAGAAAAGGATTACAAAGCTACTATAAAAGTGATACTAATACAAAAAAAAACACAATTATAATAAAGAACATAGATTGATGATTTCATTAAAAAAAACACAATATGCAAAACAATTGATAGCAACTAACATGGATTTCTATACAATAAAGAAAAATTATTGAAAAATACTCAGCAAATCGAAATTGGGTGTCGATATACAATTTATCAAGTCGTTCATTTTCAGCAACTTGCGATTTACTTGGTTTGATTCGTAGAACTTCGTAA